TTTTATAAAGATAATAACTAAGTATTCTGTTAGAACTCAATGATTATCTTAATTATATTTTAGATTTTTTATATTTAAAATGAGATGTTTATCCAATATTTGATTATGTTTATCTGTGGTTAGTTACACGAATTCAAATATTAATCTTTAATAAGTTGTACTTATGCACAATTTACTTGTAATCTTAAATTTTAAGTAATATACATCAATAAACAGTACTTCATGTATAAAAAATGGTTTTTAAAAGTTTTTGTCAAATGCTTTATAATATAGTATAGATTATCAAGAATTTTTTTTTATAAGTATTACACTTATTTTCAAATAATAAAATTTGAAACATTACTCGTCTATTTCAAACTATTTTCAACAAGTTCCCTTCTTTATGCTTAATTATTAAGCATAATTTATAATATGATAAATAACATAATATTTAACATTCAAAAAATCGTTAATGATTTATTAAGTATGCAACTTAAATTTAATTTAATTTAATTTAATTTAATTGAATCGGGTATTAAATATTATTTATAAATAAATAATTTAATAATAAATTAATTATATAATAAAAATAAATAAACAATATCAAAAGTTTATCAAAAACCTGAACCTCATAATAATGTCTATATACATAGCAAGTTGTAATAAGGTTAGAAGAGATTTTTGGGAAATAATATTGCATTAAGGGTGCGTTTGGTACGCAGACAGGATAGGACATGATAGGACATAACATAACAGGACAACTGTTCAACGTTTGGTAAGACATGACAAGACTGGACAAAACTGGTTAAAATGACTGATTTACCCCCAGTGAGTTGTTTAGTGTTTTTTTTAACTAAATAATCAATATAAATGTTAACAAATATGGTGTGCAAAGTATAACTTACATCAAACCACAACTACTTGCAAAAATATATTCGCAAAAATACATGATTTCATAATTAACTAATAATATATGAAAAAGGTAAATATAATATCGAAACATCAAGAAAACAATTTAAGTAATTTATTAAATTATAATAGAATAATTATTTTTTATAACAAAATATATCATTTGAAGTTTTCGTCAAAATAATTAAAATGACACCAAATAAAAAGTTTATGTGGTTTTCTATTTTTTTATCTCTTTTCTACATTATTTTTTATTGTTAATATATAATAAATTACATAAATTAATAAAAATATAGAAACCGTATAAAAATAATATTTTGAGGATAGTAAAAAGAAAGTTTAAGAAACATAAAATACAATAAATAAAATTTAAAGAATGAATAAAATGTAAAAGAGAGACCTATTTAATGTTTTGAAAGAGAATTAAGTTTTATTTTGAGGTTATATTGGTAAAATATAAGTATGTTCCACCCTGTTCCATGGGATAGGGGTGGTACAGACCTGTTCTATTTTGTTCCACATAAAATTAATGCCAAACATGAGACAAATCTCTGTCCTGTTCTGTCCAGTGTACCAAAAGGTACCCTAAAAGACTAACAAGACATGGGTTTATCTCTTAACAAATAAGAGAAAAGTAAGAGGTTTTTAGCTTTTATCGCAATGAAAAAAACAGTTTGATTTGTAGGAGACATTTGAGAAGACACTTGAACAAGACCAATTAGCACAACAATGTTGATAGGTTGGTTTCCAAGCCAATCTTCACTGGCAGACAACAAGTAGAAGTAGGAAAAAGAAATCAGTCATCAAGTAACAAAAAGAAAGGAAAAAACCATTTCTCCACTGCCTACAAAAGACTAATACATGTGTCCATATGCTGCCAATCAACACTAAAACCTGTTCTCAACATACCCAAAATTCACCATAACCATAACCATACATTCTTACTCTTCTCTCTTCTTCTTTTTCTTATCTTTCTTCTTACTTCCCTTTTCACCTTCACCTTCAGCTTCTGCATGTTTTCTCTTCTTTTTCTTCTTCATTCCATCCTCCTCTTCCTTCGCCACTTCAGCAGCTTCCTCGGCTGCACGCTTCTTTTTCTTTTTCTCTTTCTTTTTACCAACTTCTCCATCTGCAGCTCCATCTTCTGTCACACCCACTTCTTCCTCACCAACACCCTTCTTCTTCTTCTTCTTTTTGTCCTTCTTCCCTTCATCAACACCTTCTGATACCATCTCTTTGTCTTCCACAGCCTCTGCTTCTATCCGCCCAAGAACAGAATCTGCTGCTATATTGTAAGTCTGCAGAACATACCAATATCAATTTAGTATAATACTAGACGGGATATTGAATTTAACAAGATAACAGGAGTGAAACAAGACCTTGGCAGGAGTTATCATCGCTCCATCCCCTTTCTTGAGATCTTTGTTGTAAACCTCAATCTTGGGTTTGCCTTTAGTTGATCCAGCAGAACGCCCAAGTTCTCGCCCTTCAAGATTCCTTAGTCTTGCTTCAAGCTACAATACATACAAAAAGATGTCAAAAACCAGTGTTGACCCAAAAACAAGCAACCCCATAATATGCATGTATATGTTTACAATACCTTGAGACGGTTCTCCATTCCCATAGAATTGTCTTGGCTCTCACCAAGAGCATCGTATCGAATTGCTAAGGATGCTTTGGCAGCAAGAGAACGTGAAATCTTTCCCTTGTGCTTTGGTGCAGCTTGACCAATTAAACTTGCATGGTAGATAAGCCCGTATTTGGGAGTTGCATGTTTTGTCTTCAGTGCCCTAAAAAGAGCTTTTTCAGCACCGAGGATCTGAACCGTACTCCCAGGTTGTTTTGCAAGATTCAACAAGCTACCCCCATGAGCAATGAGGCGAGCACCAACAAGTTCTCCGACAATAGCAGTGAGATTTGGGGCAATCGTATTCATCCTGCTCTTCAAATAATCATACAGCTGCGCTCTGTATTCTGAAAGAGACAGTACTTGATCACACAGATCCTTGATGTTCACCAAATCAAGATCACTGACTTCAGTTCCCATGGAAACTACAGCCGACTCTTTTAGTTCGGCCTCAATCTCTTCTGTCAATATCTGTTGACAATTAAAACCACAAACTTGTAAGCATCGGATATATGATCAACTGATCAAAAGAACAATTATCTCATTAGAACAAGAAAATAAAGCAAATCTATACCTCAGAGAAATCAAGTTTTGCAGCATTTGTCCGGTAACCCATGAGCTTGACGGCCTTGGCATAAAGAATGTTGTCTTGTACGATCTTTGCAAGCTCCGGAAAATGCCAACCATACCATTCACGGACCCTCATTGCGTAAGTGTTAAGCTCTTTATCAAGATCATCCAACAAGCCAATAGCTTGAATGATCATTGTATCCACCTGGTACGATCATAGGTATAGAACAAGCTGTTCAGAATCTTATCCATACAAATCTACATACATTCACCTTAATGGTTCATGTAATATCCCGACATATCAACTATGTTACTTAGCTAAGATGCGCTTATTGCTAATAACTATACCACATACCTGCAAGTAACTTCATTTAAAATTTTCATACAAAGAACTAGTGGTAGTATCATCTAATATATGGAGGACACAAATTAACTAATTACAAAATAACAGATTGAAAAAAGCATATGCTTTTGCCAATTAAAAGGTCAATAGAATGAAAAATAATATAATTAATAGCAAGAAAGATAACGTCAACATCTTACCTTATCAGGACTGAACTTAAGCTTGTATCTGGACAGGCTATGAGATAAACCCAAGCTCATCGGGGCTAGATCTTGTGCGCCTAAACCAGTTATGAGTTCTGTCAATTGACTTCTCACCCCTCTCATAAGTTCCATAACAGTTTGGTTGTGAACACATTCAATTTGCTGCAAGAAGGGTCCATTTGATTTTAAATTCAAATATAGAGAAAGAAATATACAAAAAAATGAAAGCATAAGATGTAACTATCACACTTCTTTGAACCAAAAGTACAAACTTACCAGCTTTTCCTTGATCACATTTCCAAGTTTCGAGTCTGCAACAGCCAACGTCTCACCATCACAATGAGCACGCAAGAACTTGCGTAAACCTTTGCTGGGTTTGCTGTCGATCAACAGGGTAGCTGCTGATAGTGCTTCTGATGTGTTCTCAAATTTGGAAAAAGCTTTTAGCTTTACCACCTATTGGTAAGTGAGCTCATAAGTACACATATTAAGATATATGGTAGAGAAGAATCCACGCAGATAAAAAAGCGACAAACATCATCAGGGAAATACAAGATGAACGAACTAAAACGAAGAAAAATCATATTCATACTCTTTTCATGCCTCAATTTACAGCCAACAGATATATATTCTACAAAAGTCATATCTTGATACAGAAAACCATAGGTCATCACTGGATCTTCTCTCAATTGGTTCAGTTTGTGAACTTTAAAATAAGATCCATTGAAAGAATCCATCATTGCATCCACATCCATCTAGTTCTAGCATTGCCATTGCAGAAACATCAAGCGAAGTAATCACACAGAGAACAAATTTTGCTGCCCAGTTGTGTACAAAACACAACCTCGGAAGAAACATATATCTAATCCTATGAATGATGATTTCCCATAATCAACTACTAAAAGCAAAAGAGGCATACGATGTTGCATGCTTAATCTACATAAGAAAACGTCGCAAAATGTAAAGCAATCATGTTATTTCTTTCATTGAAGAAAAAGAATCAATAATTGAAAAACAAACCTGTCTGGCTGTATCGGAAGACGAGAACTCCTTCCACAAGTCCTATAAACACAAAATCAATATAATCAAAAATCATACAAACACACAGACTTATGTCTGCCCTTGTATTATGTGTATATACTCACATCAACTTTGGAGAGCTTTCCTTCATCCAATACTTTGAAAAGAGCAAAACCCGCTGGGGTTTCAAAAAGCACTAACATTCTCTTGATTCCTTCAAATTAACCCTGAAAAACAAACAGAAATCGATGATTTCTTCTAACTTTTTATACTTACAACCAGATAGTTAACGTTCCAGTAGCAACAAAGACTACAGACAGGGGAAATGAGTGAACCCTAGAAAGGGTTTTTTTACCTCCGAAGAGTTGCTGCCGCTTAGGAAGGAGGAGAAGGGTGATTTGAAGCAGGGGTCTAGGGTTTAAAGAAAGAGGAGGAAGTGTATATAGAAAATGTATAAATACGACTTTTTTTTTGTTCGTCTTGAAAATCAAACTTATTTTGTTTTAATTTTTATTTTTAAAAACTTAAATAACATATTATGTTGATTTTAACCATTCTATAAACTTTAGTTGTTGAATTATTATTTTTTTAAATAATAATAATTGAGTTCAGGATTAAGGGGTTGTTTATTTACCTTTTAATAGTTACATTAGGAAAGAACATTTGAATTGTTAAGAGGTGAATCTTGTTTTGTTTGACAAAAAAGAAAGTTTGACTCTTAATGGTTCTAAGACCCTCTGATGATTTTGTATCATGAGTTTCCCTTAACCATTCAGTGCCCTAATGTCAGTATAAACAATTACCAAATAATTATATTTCATTTTGCACTATATCATGAGAAGCATCTTAATCATTTTGAATACTTAATCATTCTACACTAAATAATTCAGCAATTGTTAAACAACCATTACAGTAATTAAATTCTCTTAATTAAAATTTTGAAACTTTTATAAAAAAAATAGTAAACGTTAGTTTTGGTCCTCATTTTTGCAACTTTCAATGGTGTTGTTTCTAAATTTCAAAAACTCAGATTTCGTCTTCTATATTTGTCAAATACTAATGGTTATGGTTACTCTGTTTAATAGTGGTTAATTATTTCGTTATAATTCAGTTAAATAAAAAATATTTTAAACATTTTCACAATTTTCTTAATTTTATAAAATTAAAAAACATTCTTATTTTTTAATGTAAAATAGAAAAAGAAAAGAAAAATCTTAACCACAACTTTTCATTTTTATTTTATAATTAAAAATAAAAAACATAATACGTTCTTTTATTCGCATATAAAGGAAATGAGTAAAATACATCTCATTTAATTAGACATAATGAAAAAGGTTAACAACCATTGAGCAGATAGACCAAAACTACTGGAACTTCACAAATATGAGGCACCGAATTTAAATTCTTAAATTTTTTAAAAATGTTATCCATTGAAAATTACAAATATTAGGGACCAAATTGAATCTTACTCTAAAGTCTAAAGTAAGCTAGCGGTGTCCATGTGATTTATTTGTTCTTTTTGGCAATAATTCATGATATGTTTATTTTGTATGTCACAATTAATAAAAAAAAATTCTTCAATAATACATTTTAAAAACATGTTATGTTGATTTTTTATTATATTTTTATTTGTTTAAGTTATAAGTGTAAAATATTGTGTTTTGATTGAATTTTCTATTATTTCTTTAAAACTTTAATTTTGAAAATTATATTAGATAATTCTGGTCTTTTCAAATCTTAAGCAGTGGTTCTCAAATCGATTCTTCGTTTCTTGTTATTATTGTTATTGAAGTAATTGTCAACTATAATTGTAAAATCCGGGTTTGATAGAAATAGAATTTAATGATTTTGTTAAATGTAAAAAAGAAATGTAGAATGTAAAAGATGTAGTCCCCTTCTTGTCACGGAAGCAAATTCCACGTTAAAGCATCATTTTTTTTATATATTGCCTAGTGTCGAAGAGCATAGGTTTGACCCAAATACAAATTCGTCTAACTGTATTGACTTGGAGTTTTGACGTCAAACCAAGTTGGATGATGAAAATGAAGTTGGTGATCCAATTAGGGTTGTCCTTCAATCACTTTTGATTATGAGGTAGATCCAAACATCACTTCAATCGATATACCTGACGCATAACTCATTATACCCTTAATGCATTTATATCGTGGAAAATAACATTCCATTGGACAATACTTCTACCAATACGATGTGTGTTCACAATTTAATCTGATGTTAAAATTGATTTTTCACTAGATGTATAATAATCAGTCTTCTTGTGGGGTGGATACCATACTTGATTATAGTGGCTAAATACCATCTTAAAGAGAGCTTGGAAAACAAACTTCATGCGTCTGTTCAATACATAATACAACAATAGTGCGTAAATGTGGTGGTGTGTGTGGATCTCCCTTTCATTTAGACCCTAATGGTGGCTCTGAAATGACCCAACAGCATACACAATCGACTGAACTACCGAAGATGGGTTCGAACAAGATTCAAGTATTTGAGCTCACCAATCCAAACGCTTTATGCCGATGGCTGCAACCATAGTGGCTGGCTTATGCACGTCTATATTCATCTCCACAGTCACCAATCACTCTCAGCAGATCTTTTCCTTTACTCGTAACTTCTTTAATGCTGTTTACATCTTCTTCATCAAGTGTAAGTGAGAATATAGCAGTATTGTCTTTGATATGTTCCGATAATCCAAGTCGTACACCTACCATTGACCCTGCTACACATGGCTGCAATCACAGCACGATTTTCACTTACTAATCCATCACAATGTAAAAAGACATATTTGGAAGCAAGGGGATCGAGTGGATTTACCTGATCTAGTATGTATTTCACAGCAACGCTTGAAATGGAGACTCCATGTTTCGATGCTACCTGATTTAGAGTTTTAAGCAGACCTTGGAACAGACTCCATCCGCCCCACGCATCAACCATCTGTGATAGGTATATATATTCTCACTTAATATACCCACTACTCAAAATTCATCATTTTCATTTCTCAAGTTGCCCCATACTTGATTATCTTGTTCTTGAGATGGAAATAAGCTTTAACATTGCTTCACAAGTTTCTAATTTCTTCATTATTATACTTGTTTTTTTCCCTATGAAATGGTGAACAAACTCATAAAATGGTAAACCTAAAGACACATGAACCCGACGACCTAAGAGTTTTAGAGATTCACAGATACCGTTGGGCTAAACATCACTTGGTTACGTTATTATACATTACTATATAGATTGGAGGGTGTTATTTTTACCATGAATTGTAACACAACTTGCAACAAAATTTGCACCATCAGTTAGCAGATACAAAAACCTTACCCGGTTTTTTATCATTTGGGTTCACGGAGGTTATGATTCACAATAATGGATATCATTTGGGGTTACGTTGGTTATGATTCAATACCCGACCAAACAAACCCATTATAACCCACCTAAGGTGGGGTATGGGGAGGGTGAGAAGTATGCAGACCCCAAATGATATTCACCTAAGAAAAGATACGCTTTATATGTTTAAGCACATAATTTTTTTGCATGACTACTTGAATTTTTCTCATTTTGATGTGATACTGTATTGTGTCATGATTGCTTCTGTTTGATTTTTTTGGTTGCTTACTTCTAGCTTGTTTTTTCAAAACTTAGCACTACATTTACTGTTTTCAACATATTTTTTAAATGCTTTTCTTATGTTCTTATTCCACAAATTTAAATGTCTCTCGTTTTTCCACATTAATGTAACATACCCTTTTGTACTTCTGAAGGGAAGGAGTGTTGAGTGGAGGTCCAGCAAAAGGGATTGACAAGTTGGTATCCAAGAACTTCTCGGATAATAGTCCACCCATTACTGTTCCATAGCTGCATGAGAAACAGACCATTAGTCTGTGAAAGAAAGCTGGAAAACCCAGTCCATCTAGGAAAGCCCCCAACCCAAGCACTGTTTCATAAAGGTGATGCATCAAATTAATGTTTAATATAATGATTCCCCTGTCGAAATAGATCATTCTGTATAATGTAACCAATTTGGAACAGTTCTATGCCAATAGAAAAGCAAGAAAAAGCAATATATCATTTATAGAGAAGCGGAAATCAAAACATTGCATGCCATGTGAGACAGAGAAAGAGAGGAGGGAGGGAGGGAGGGGGAGAGAGAGACGTTATCAGTTTTACTCCAGTGAGCTGACAGAGTTCTGCCATCTTTTGTTGAGGTCGCATGTCCACAATCGAATGCTGGACCTGATAACATTAACACGTAGATGGTAATAATAACTATAAACTGGAACTCGGAGCAAGATATACATATGAAACTGCGAGCATCAAATTTTATTACCTGATTGCTGACAATTGGAATCCCATTTTCCAATATAATCTGTAACCTCTCCGTATCAAAGTTAGTCAAAGCTATTGTCTTAATCTTACCTGCAAACAGAATGATGACCTTATCCAGTCTTGTCAAGAAATTCATCAGAAGAGAAACGCAATTAATAAGAACAAACCTTCTTCTTTCAAATCTGTAAGGTGTTTAAGGGCGTCAAGATAGCCAGGATTGGCGTAATCCCACCTGATTTGAGAAGCAAAAAAGCATGCTTAATGAGTCAATCATTTTCCTAGATTTTATTTAGGCAGAGAGGATGGAATCCATCTTATCAACAGGAAGAGTAAGGTAGGCACAAGACAACCCCAAGTAATTGAGTTTTTACGGTTGTTGACTAGAGCTAAGTTGTTGAGTAACTGGATTGTCACCAACATGAACTTGGAAATAATTGCTCAATACATAAACTATGACCATTCAGATTCTTGAACAGAATAAGAATAAGAAATTGAAACAATAAGAAATAAGATACTTGCAATATTCAGGAAAGAATATCCATATAGATTTCCTTTTCAAGTCTGTTTGAAGAAGAATATGTACGATTAAGTATGGGGTTCAAGGTTACATGACATTCCCAATTCAACAATTACTATTCCATCTACACTGCAAAGATCATGGTCCACCAGTAACATTCTTCATCATTTGTAAAGGTAAATCTAGAGAAAGTAACTATCTAATGTAGTTATCAATTTGAAACATCATAATTTTGTCTAGAACGGATGCAACATATACTATAGCTTGCAAGTTGTTCTTCCCTGAATTTCTTGAAAGTTCGAGAACATCAACTGTTTAATTCTTTTAGCAGTTCTCTTAATTTTGATAGATCACAATTAAGTTTACATTCACGATATTTTCTTCCCAGTTATTTTACTAGATTTATTTAGTCTGACATAAAAGACACCAATTAATTCCCACCACCAGGTTTGTGAATTTGTTCAAGTAAAAGTATAATACTCACAAGATCTATCTTAAATTTGCAAGAAACAAGAGAGAATGCAATCAATACCAATGAAATTGAAGCATATCCAAGGAAGCAACATCCATTCTCTTTCGTGAAATATCGATGTTTTTCTGGACATAACTGCTCGTCATTTTAACTGGTGGTGGCACCCACTTGGTAAGCCTGCATATCAGAGCAAGAAAATATGATTAGATGATAAATCCCCAGAATCAGTTGAGACGATAGTTGTGCATAATTTCCAGAAAGTAAATCAAGCATGTAGATATTTGCTAAGCATAATTTGCGTCTTTAGTTTGATGAAGACATTCAAATTTGGTTATATATTCAGAGTAAGAGCCACAAATTATCAGGCAAGGATTAAACACCACTTGAATAAAAAGCAAGTATAACAAACCCTTTGACATTTTCTAAAAACTCAGGTGGACGCTCTCGGCGGACACGATTAATGAATATGCCATAGAGATCTTCTGCAGGCCCATCTGCCACATTAAACTAGTTGATTAAAACAAGCCAGAAACCATAGTAGTTGTTTACCCATAAAACACTATACAGAAACAAAAATACGGAAAAAGAGTTATGCCTTTGAGAAAGAGAGTGCTTTCACAAAAATAGCTAGCGTTCTTGTTACTGAAATTTCAGGATTATTTATTTATTCATTCATATGCAGCTATGAAACAAGAATGTGGATAAATTCCATTCCCATTCCTTCGAATTCCAATTCCATTGACGGATTTCAGTTCCTATAGAGTCTATTATGCAAACCAAACACCACCTAGGAGAAAGAAGTCTGAAAACATAGAATATAATAAAACCACCAAGACAATACCGGCTAACTACATATTCTATTGGGACCTTACATATATCAGCCATATCAAAGGTGGAAAAGCCAGCATCAGCGTAGCGGATCATGGCATCAACTGCATCCTCCCTATCAATCTTGCCCCATCCACCACTAGTCTGCCACATCCCATTAACTACACGGCAAATTTCTAACGAATCTTTCCCATTCTTAACCACAGCCAGTTTTTTGTCTTCTGTTAACACACAATGGACTGTTTTTGAGATCAGTTTTCGAGTTTCAACTCCTCTACTAGACTTTTGTTTGGTTGAATCCAAGGTGAAGTGAGTGAATGAGTGGCTCAACAACTCAGTCATTTTGAAGAATAGAAGGCGGCGCAAGAAAAATAACAAGAGTCCTATGTGTATTTTGTTATCTCTGAAACGAATCAACAGGGAGCTCATAATTCACAACCACAAACATTTTTCTTTATTTTAATTCAAACAAAAAGATAAATATTTGGCCTTTGATCCAGATGCCGCCACGTGTTTAGTCCCAAAATACTCCTCCATCTCCTTTCTCGAACACAATACGGTTTGGTTAATTAACTACAGTGAAATACATATTCTGTAGACTGTGAGCATAAGAAATTTCACTCGAACGGATTACAAATTATAGGAATCCATGTATTAACGAGACTGAATAGACAAATAGCAATTAAATTTATTACATATAACGTAAACGAAACTCGGGTTTCATTATAAAATAAGATGGAATTCAAGGATTTTACAGTGATCAGCCATATCGAAGGTGGAGAGGCCAGCATCGGCATACTTGAGCATAGCGTCAACGGCATCATCACGGTCGATTCTTCCCCAACCACCACTCGTCTGCCACATTCCATTGAGTACTCTGCATATCTCCAGTGAATCATTCCCGTTCTTAACGGTGGTCACCAGCTGCTCCCGGTTTTCGGCTGCGACTCCAACCGCCTCACATCGGACTTCAGTCCTCCTCACCCCGGTTCCGACGCGACGGCGAGAGTCCGAACTTCTTGGAGCCTGAGGTCTGGAGCAGCCAAGGCTGCTGAGATTGTAGAAAGTACGGCTTAAAGTGGCTGACGCCATTTTTTTGGGGACAAATAATATGGATTGAAGGCGAATACAGGGGGAGAGGATAAAGTCCGGATGATGAAAATAATTATTTCGGTGCTAAAACGAGTAATTCTCTTTTATATTTTAAAAAAATATATAAGAAAACGTTAACTAAACTTACACCAAATATGGTGTAACTAACAGGAATGACAACGGGTCGGGTATTGGTATTTCGGTTCCTGAAACAGATAGCTAAAACCGTCTCCGTAAAATGTCCTCGAATTCGGCCCGAAAGTTTCGGTTTTCATCATTGGTTTTGAATTTTTTTGCCATCCCTATTAACTAATAATAACACATTAATTTACAGTAACAATGTATTTGTTTATCATTAAAGGGACATTTGAGATTGCTTATAAAAACAACTTATTGACTTATTCCGGTGTGACACGATAATAAACACTTTTGAGTGTTTGGATAAACAACTTATACCGGTGTCAAACCGATAATAAGAGGTTTTTGAAAAAGTTAAACTCTTCTGACTTATAATAAGTCGATAAGTGCTTTTGTAGAAAAGCATAAGTTGTTTCAGATAAGCAATCACAAACACCCCCTAAGTATAATAAGCATAAATATCAATGAATTATAAAATACATGAATGAAACCCGAAATTTCAAAAAGATATGAACGAAAATAACAATTTTCGACAAACCAAACCTAGTTTAGTCAAAACGTACAAGTACTCTCATTTAAAGATATGACATTGTTTAACAAGATAACTTCCATTTCATCGTAGGAGGTACGAGTCACTAAGTGTTTCCTACCTATGGATAATGGCTCTGGAAATCTTGATAAAAACACAAAACCCATATCAAACATTCGATTTTAGTAAAACTAACTTTTTCTTCGAAGACATGATCCCTTACCTTTACTCCTCAAAATCCATCATATGAAGTGTTACTAGGTGCTTTTTTGACCTAGTTAACTGGTGATAAACATAAAATTAATAAAGACTCGTTCATAATTATTTGTGGTGATTAAGATTGAGATATAACCAATATGTTTTTTTTTTTTCGTTCTAGGAAGACATGTTGGAAATAAAATGGTTGAATGTAGATATAAATACTTGATGATTTATCTAATTCAATCATTTTTAAACATTACTTAAAATTATAATAAAAAGTAAACATTATTTAATGATTTAACGAAAAAGACATTAAGTTGAACTATCCATGAGACTTGCAAGATGCAACAATGTTGAGCCACACGAATTAATTTATATAAGAAATGAAGGTCTGACCACAAGGGTGGTGTCTGATTGGTTTGAGTTGACTTCAATGGTCAAAAGTACCTGGGAGTCCCAGGTTCAAATCTAATGAGGGAAAAAAATCCTCTTGTGACCATGGTAGTTCAAATGCGGTGACTCTGGGCTATCTGCAGCAGATGGTCGTCCTGAGATTAGTTTGCTCGCATAACGGGTTGGATGTCTAGGTTAATTAAAAAAAAGATATATCTAATGTGTCACTACAATAAAATTGGTATGTTGAGATGCCTACACTGTCTAAGCATCTTAATAAAATACTTTATATAACCAAACCAAAAAGCATCTTATCTAAAAATGTTATAATAGGTTTATAAGATGTTTTAACAAGTTTTTTATAACGCTTTTAAAATATAGTGTCACATTAACTATTTTATATGATAATATTTGAAAGAATGTATTATAAACACAAGTATCTTATAAAAAGAAGGTTTTATATAACACTTCTCAAAAGAATCCTATAAAATGACTAATATGACGCTTTATTTTAAAAACGTCTTAAAAAGTTTGTTAAGACGCCTAAAATGTCCTATAAATCTATTGTAACGCTTTTAAATATGACGCTTTATAGTTTGATTATATAAACTTATGTTCTACGAAGTATTATATTAGAAGGTTTAAACATTTTAAAAGTCTTGCAAAGCAAATTTTATTGTAGTGTATGAAACATTTGCCTCATAAACTTATTCATCCCATGCATGATGCAAGAAGCTAATCATGACTCATTTTAATACCAGATTACCATAATTCTTAACGTATGTTAATACACTTCAAATAAATTACATAATATAACATGTTGGTCGTTAAATCTTATACACTTTGCCGTTCAATTAACGACTAACAATAAAGTAAAAAAGACAACTTTTGACACTTGCACAAAAAAACAATATTCAAAACATATGAAATAACTCATCCTTGTGAGCTCTACAATCATTTAAATACGTGTTTCACCGCACCAGGAATGTGTATTTTGACAAAATAGTAGTCCCAATCAATCAACTTTGGATCAAAATAGAACATATTGGCCTCAACTCCGTTTTCTCTTACTACTTGACGCAATTTTTCAGTATTCATATCATCGTAGCTGTCAAAACAAAGAATAAAAGGATTTATGGTATTTGGATAAGCTTTAATTCATAATAATTAGAAAAATAGCATTGACTTACAAGCTTTTTGAGAACAAATAGGGTTTGTACAGCTCCACCACCCGTAGCACAAAGTTGATCTTGCGTTTAAGATCCATGTATGTTCCATTGAAGGCATGGCATAATGCTGAATTCACAAAGTGCAAAGCCTGAAAATGAACGAAAAAGTTATTAACTAAACATAAATAAGATGAAAAACACATAAAGAAAAGAGGATTAAGACTAAAATTAGGATCACGATCAAGACGAGAATGAACCTGTAAAGGAAGCAAGTAACGAAGTGAAAAGTATCTACGAAAGCTCTCCATGGAGTTCAACACCTTAACCTCGCTGACAATAACTGCCTTGCCGTCTTTGTTAATCCACGGATGCTTGGAAAAGTAATGATAACCACTCTTTTGAATTCCTTTGTACTTCAGAGGGTTTGACACGGAAGATCCAACATGATATATTATTTCACAAGGTTGACTTGCATGAGCTGCAATTGTCGTAATCATAGCATTTACCACCATGTCTGCTGGTATCTGTCAATTACATCATTTTTGTCAGCAAAGTCAAAAGGAAAATCAAGTAACCTTAGTGATGCGTATGCACTGTGCATTGTGAGTCATGCAACAGTTTTCTAGTAAATAACAAACTGAACTTATTTAAAGGACCTACCGCATCAATTACAGACTCAGGATCGCCGAGGAAACATGATAATCTGCCCTTGCCATAACCAATAGCCAAGCTATCTATCGTCCTGTAATTTTTAAATACAAAGATTGTTTTTAAAAGGAAAATTTTGAATTTGGTGTGAAATATTGTTTACAAAAATAAAGAGTTACCTTATGCCTTCGATCCAACCAGGAAAGGGCTCTTTATATGTGCTTGTGATGATCGTTGGTCGAAGAATAACCAACGGTATATCTCCTTTTAAGTGCCCGATAATCATCTCTCCCAGTGCCTTTGTAAAAACATACGTATTTGGCCATCCAAATTTATTTGCCCTACGATTAAAAAAAAAAAGAAAAAAAGTCCAAACTTTTATGCAATATTAATAACTAAAAGTAAAATAACAGTAACAATAAATGAGGACGATAAATGTTATCTACTCCAACCGATTGAAGGAACCAAGGAAAAAGAATTAAAAAACTAGAAATTATATTATATATTGTTATAAATCTTAAATTTTTAATTAAAAAAAAAGAGACAAAAATTGAAGTTTATAAGAAAGATTAGCAATGACAGCAAAACCATTATGTTTTACCTTTGAATGCCCAAATCTTTCATGGACAATGTGATGGATTTAGCGGTAGCTGTTTCATCAGAGCTGAGTTCTTTCAGTTTTTCTTCGATGATCTTCTTTTCTACGTTGATGTCTAACCCTTTTGCACCGTTAAGTGCCTCGCCCAATTTGTACGGTGTTTCAAGTATAAGCCCTGGCTTCTCGCCAGATACATAAGCTGAAAGCAAGTATAATCTTAATTTAACCGCTTATCTAAAACTATATAATTATCTCCTCACAATTGTCCAAAACTTAACCTTTTGTTTTCATGATCTATCATTTCAAGAATCTTAGAAATAAAAAAACTCAAGTACTAAATCACACATATTGATCTATATTTATTGGGTTCTTTTACCAAATCTTGAATTTTAATACTATTTTTTCAAAATACTACAAACTAAAATATGTGGTGGGATTTTCTTGGTTGTTCTTCCAGACCCCATTAATTATTCGAGGTACGCACAAGTTGATCCGAACAAACATGGTTAACAAAAAAATCAGATGGGTATACGTTATTTGTGCGTTTTCTTTTTCCAAAAACAATTGCACGAGGGCTATTCGAAATATAAATTTACAACTTAAATAATAAAAATGACATTAGAAAATATACTAACCAGTGGATACATGGAGAAGCAACTTTATTTTGACACATTTAGCCGCAAAATTCAAAACATTTTTAGCTCCGAAGGTATTCAAAGCGAGAGCAACGTCATATCTGCAAGAAGTCAGTAATTTATTTAATAACCATGTATAATATAAACGTCATAATTAATAATAAAAGCAAGATTGGCTTAATTTGTTAAGCCAGCTCCTACAGAAGTTCCAGAAACAGGTATATGTCAAGTAAATCCGCTCCATTGAATTCGATCCCCATAATATGGGCCGCTTTGTATTTAATTATACATCTACTTTAGAACATAGATTTTGACGTAACAATCCTTCATATTGTCCTTCAAAACAATTGGTTTATTTATATATATATATATATATATATATATATATATATATATATATATATATATATAGTTTGTTTCAAATGCAACCTATCACATTTGTACAACCAATGCAACTCAATAAATTGAAATATTTATGGAAATAATGAAAGTTAATTTATTATGATTTAAATATTTATGAAAGATGAATAAAGTTTATTAATTATGATCAATACTTTATATTTTGAAAACAATCAAAACTTTTATGAAATTATATATTCATCACATTAAATGGACGGTTAAGATCGAGTTGTATTGGTTGTACAAATGTAAGGGTTGTACAATATAACATATATATATATATATATATATATTATAAAAACTTTAATGTTTAATAGGAAGGTAGGTGTACCTTTCATCAAAGTTGGTGGTGGCAGCTACATTCACAACGACATCAACATTTCTCCACATCTCTTCAACCAAATTGGAGTCTGTTACTCCCAGATTTTCATTGGTGATGTCTCCGGCCACCGGAGTAACTTTTTCCGACAGGAAAGATTGCAGATTTGTACCATGCTTCTCTTTCAGGATCTTAAACAACTCCTTTGCCACTGCCTATATATATATTTATGTTCATGAAAATATTTATATTAAATATATCAAACCTTTGATAATTATAAACATGTTTTTTAATCATCTAAAATTTAATATATTTTTTTAGTTTTATTTTTTGAAATTTCCAATTATTGATGAACCACTATATTGTGATGTCTACCATTAACATATCCATGTACAAGTTGAACTACCAAATATTAATTTCCAGAAATAATCAGACAAATAATTACTGTTGTAATAAAAATCCTGAATTTTGTGCAAGAATGTCGTATATTTTTTCTATTGTAATTCTTGAAAAATGTATGCTTTACCCAAAAGCGATATCTACATGCCCGATTATAGAAATGAACTCTATCGACATGCATAAACGGTTTCCATTAGATCGTGACATCTAGCGAGACATATGTAAGTGTGCGATAAACATTAATCACATACGATTAATATATGATTCTTTTAAGAAACAACCTTTATATCAACGTAAAACCACTCGCTGGACCACATGAATTTGTGTATAACGAAGGAAACTGCTTCTTTGAAAATTCCTTATCATGTTATGTTAATATACAAACACGGGGAATTATATAACCTCAAAAACACAAGTCTTGTCCGTTATCATGTTATATTGTCTCGTTAGACGCATACGCGAACTTAAAAACGCTCTATACCTCAGTATTGAAGCGTTGCAAGGCGGATTTGGCATCGGTAGCTCTTACAAGAAGATATAACTTCTTCACATTTGGTTGAACCCGAAGTATCTTCTCGACAAATACTAACACACAGACAAACCCAAGTTAATATAAGATTAGATTTTTGAAGGGGTCGAAATATATATTCTCTTTGACCATGTGAATTCTGGAAGTGAAGTAAATAGTAGACAAATCCATAAATTTTTTGTGAATGATATCACATGTCACTTACAAAAGTACTGTGTTTTTGTATGGCATGTGAGTACTAAACATAATTTCATTTGATGTCTTGTGTGATGGATTGTCCTACATACAATTATACATACGTACATGTACATGCACATACATATACATACATACATGCATACATATACATATATATTGAGTGAGAGAGAGAGAGAGAGAGTTTAGAGAAAGAAGAAGGATACTTTTGGCAAGAAAACCAGTGGCGCCGGTGACTAAAATGGTCTTGTTGTCAAGAAAATCAAGAATGCTGCCCAACTCCATTTGTTGCAGGTATCAACCTTGATATGTATATATGTATGTGTGTGTGTGTATATATATATATGGCAAGAACACAAAGAGTTTAGAGAGAGAGAGAGAGAGAGAGAGAGAGAGGAATGGTGAAGAAGGTGATGGAATGGAAGTGATATATAAAGATGGAAATGAGGGTAAATTATTAAAGTGAGAAAGGAAGGAGGAAAGATGGAAGCCAATGAATGTGTTGTCAGATTTGTTTGGTAAAGATGGACAGAAATATGGGTGCTCTACATTTATTTACTCCAAGATTAATACATCATTAATAATTAAACATCATTATCACCTTAATTAATTACTACTAATTAACAATCATAATCATATGATCCACATTTTAATTTTTTGCTTCATTTTCAGCCGTCAATATCTAACCTCATTCACTTAATATCGTCACTTTACTTAATAATTATCATAATAATTAATAAAACAATATTTAGTAATTTTCAATAAATATAATGTTACTATTTTTCTATAATTATTGATGATATCTTTGTTTTGACGAAAACATATATATATATAATAAAGCAACACGTCATTACTTCTTTTGTCTTTCACTTGTTCAAAGTAACGATCCATTTTTTTACTTCAATCGATTTAACAATATCTTATTGCATAAGATACCAAAAGGAAATGAAAACGTAATTAACAGTTTTAATTCGTTCAGTGATTAACTATTTGATATAACGTTCATCTTAAAAATAGATCGAATCAAATCCGTATTTTAAAACGTAATTTAGATTTCTACAAATAAATGTAATCCATAAAAATTGCCTGTGGCTTTTAAACATTAATTAATATAATTATATAAATACCAATAAACAAAAAAACATATTCTATTATAAGTGTGTGTGTATATATAATTCTTGTAATGAACGTTTTTTTCTCGAATCCCACATATCTAATATTCAATCAAGGAGAGAGTCGGCCTATATGTAGTTGAACTACTTAGAAGACATGCATATATATATATATACACACACAACAACCTAATAATACATCTAATACAGATATAGACTTAGGAATTTTTCCGAGTTGTGGCACCATTTGCTTATAAAAACGAAGTTATAGATAATTTTTTAAAAATTATCATTGGTTTGTTGGTTAGTTCCTTACTTTTCGTATGTGAGATCTTGTGTTCGAGTCTTTTATTGCAATTCTTTTAAAAAACATGGTAAATTTGAAATTAATAGCTAAAAACTAAGAAAATGTTTGAAATGAGATTCAAACACGTGACTAGGATGGAAGAGAAGTCGTTCAAACCAACATTGCCAAGACAAAGTTGTATTATTATTATAGTTTCAAAATATATATATGGTGACACCTTTCATGAGTCTCAATTATTTTAGCTTAAAACAGAAAAACTAGCAGCTGCCTGCACCACCATATATGTAATGAATTAGCTTCACCCATGATCCAATGCCAATGATTTGTGGATATAATGTGTTGCTAGATCTCCACTTCAGAAAACTATACAGGCAACAACAAACGCATGTTGAACTGAGGCCTATCTTTAATTATCTATTTCACGAAGAGAGAACCATGCTCGCATCCATCGAAGTGGTGGAAGGCCTCTGAGTAGCTGAGTCGAATGGAGAGCCATGACATCCTCAACTTTTTAAAAGGTTACGAGATTGGTAATCCCCAAGTTTTTTTGTTTTGAATATTTAACTAATAGTGAACTATTTTTTTTATAAATCATATGTTGAACAAAATGTTTCATGGTCCGAAAATAAGTGATCATAATAAATTATTATGTTTTTTTTAATTAACTAAATGGAAATTTTAACTTTTAATGATATAGGGGGAAACTTTATACATTTATAATTAAGAGTATATAAACTAAAATAAAAATATAAACACGTGTTTTATAACTGGAATAATAATTTCATATGAATAATAGTTTCTTTGAAGGAAATACTAAATTCATTTTGACATCTTTCAACATAAATTCCAACCAAATTATCACCTGCAATTTACTTTCTTTAAACTATATAGTTATCTAATTAATACAAATCATTATTAAATGAAAGATTTTTTTTTCCTGTGACATCCATCGCTAAACGTGATTCGTCACAAAAAACCGTCATAAAATTAGTGGATAAATTGTTGGTGGGAAACTCAACTCAGTAACAGATTATTCAGGGCCTTGATTTATTTATTTCCTTTAAAAACATCAAGCTCTACTAGAACCATTAATATTTTCTGGATGATTTGTCTATAATCACCGATGAAATTCATTTGCTTTGTAGTGAGTATTTCTAGTGATTAATAAACAATTTTTTTTTATATTTGATTAATTAATACTCGTACTAACAACTAAAGATGATTTCTCACTACTAGGGGTGTTCAAAAACCCGATCAATCTGACCAGCCCGATCAACTAACTCAACGCCAAATAACCAAACCGAAGCAACTCGATATCTAACCAGTTGTAAAAGCTTCAAACCATATGTATCGTGTTGGAATTGGTTTACTGTTATTTGAACCTAACCCGACCCGATGTCCTTTTATTTATTGAATTTAATATGATTGTTAAGTCATATTGATATGTACATTAGACAATTACACCATCAAGTACCCTCTTCATATACATATTTTCAAATTTTTTATCTATCTCTATATAACTTCTTCGTATATATGTTTAATAAATGCAAAACATATATATGTGAAAAAAATTAGTTGAATGTGATGTTTATACTTAAGAAGTATGAATAAGTTATACCGAATGATTGATGATGCAAAAAGAATTATAAGTAGATGAAACAACATATTTAAAGTTAAGAGTTCATTTTAATATACCAAAATATCAACCCGACTAACTCTTACAATTTGAGTTAGGTTGGGTAGGATTTTTCAAACCTTAAAAATTGGATTGAATTATTTAAGTGTTTTCAATCAGATCAACTCAACCCGTGAACACCCCTACCCACTACTTCATAAAATATTTAAAAGAACCCACAACTTTTTTAACAATAAATAAATAAGAATTATTTTCAATAAATTGCAACAGAATTTTGAACTAATTCCTATTTTAAAAAATCAATTTATAAAACTTTCATGTTAAGAGTTCTAAAAAACAAATATTAAATATAAGTTAGGGTTTGATTTGATAACCTCTTAAGTAGGTAACCGGTCAAGGTAATTTGCCTTTCTTAATTAATATATATTTTCTCTTCACTTTTGTGAGTAATGACTATTTTACCCTTGTTTTTTAATGATATTTTTTGTTTTCCGTTTCTTCGTTGTTGATAAAACACTGGATTTCCAAAAACATCTTCGTCAGTCGGTTTTTTCGTCGATGAATCCATGGTGATCCACTTTTAGCTAAGTTTTCTCCGATCACGAGATCTGAAAGAAATCCATTTTCTGACAGATTTCCAACAGTCATATACATTGGTTAAAGTTAATAATTTAGTAGTGTATATAATGGCCAGACCCAGCATCGTGCCACATGTGACACGTGCCAACATATTATTCCTTCGTCGAAGGATAAAAAATTTAGGTTCGGGAAAATTAATGTAATTGTATAAATCTGTAGTGTGTCACTCTATGTATTTTGAAACTACAATGAAAACAAGTTTTTTTTGATAGAGTTGATTTGCAAGTCTTTTCTTCCACTCTATACCTAATTTCGAATCTTGTTAATGCCATTTTTTTATTCAAATGTTTCAAATTTCCCCCCTATATTTGTTGCTTATGGCAAAATGGTGTCATCTTCTGAAAACTTTGAAAAATCTTTGTAAAACATTACTCTCAGTATTAGTTTTTGAAAAATCATGCTTCCATGTTAAAAGATAATTGAAGAACATCATCAACAGTCCTAAAAAAAACATGGCTCCTGCATCAGAGCTTGAACTCTCCATCAAACCCACTTGTCATACCCTCTTCAATGGTGCCGATTCTGATATCTTTGTTGGACACCAAGACTGGTTCAGCGTCAGTGTTGTCAGTTCAATGACGGAGAAGATCTGACTTGAAGGAAGTATTTATCAAGTGCAGGGACGAACTCATGTGGTGGCACAGGCCACCACTTCGTTTCTTTGTTGTAGTGTAAAAAATTATAAGGTCATAAAAAATGTCATCGTATCAACTTGTTGTCTGTCATCTTATATATTTAATTTTAAAATTACAATGAATATGCAACTACACAAGTTTCCCTTGTAATAAAAGACTTGAACACACATACTTACATAAAAAAAAATGAAATAACCAACGTATCAATAATGATTTTATAAAAAATATCGCAATATATTTATCTATATTATAAAGCATTTGACAAAAACTCTTAAAAACCATTTTTTATGCATGAAGTACTGTATATTAATGCATATTACTTAAAATTCAAAATTACAAGTAAATTATGCATAAATACAACTTATTAAAGCTTGATGTTTGAATTCGTATAACTAACTGCGGATAAACATCTCATTTTAAAATATAAAAAATCTAAAATATAATTAAAATAATTATCGAGTTCTAACAAAATAATTAATTATTATCTTTATAAGAAAATTATATTATTAAACCAAAAATAAAAAAATACATTACAGAAATACACAAAAAAAAAAAAAAATTAAATAGTTAGTTTGGTATTTTTTTAAATATTTTATAATATCTTCATATTTATATTTTGTTCAAAAATAAAAACATTATCATTTTCTCAAAACCATATAAAACCGTATTATAACATCGATTGCGACAAAAAAATAAAATGAAACAATAAAATCAATGTATCTCGTTGTATTATGCGAGTATCATTCTAATTATAGTTAAATGATACCACATACTTAAAAAATTTCTAGATGCCGCCTATGATGAGGTGGTAGGATGAGAATGGATGATGGCGGTGGAGATATATGGATTAAATCACATCCATTGAATCATCTTAATCTAAGCATTTGAATGAGTTTTTCTGTACTTTCCTTTTTCATACGATCTCATCATATATATATATATATATATATATATAT